GTGCGACTGGTTCCCCGGAAAGCCTTTGTTGGTGAAATTTATTGACCTAATCCGCCATGATGCAATATAAATTGAATTTTTCATTATGGAACATTAATTTTCTTACCTTGTGAATTACTAATCTCTAGCTGACAACCCTTTTAACAGGCTTCCAAAATGATAATTGGTTAGGAATGAAACAGCCCAGCGCACAGTATGCTGTAGTTATCCCAAGCTTCAGTGTGTTTAAACGGAGCGGAGCCATCGGAGGCCGCTTTATGATGAGCTTTGGTGTGTGCCGCTGTTGCGTCACAACCTAGAAGGGGGGCTGGGACAGTATTTTTAGATGGGAATGAGCATATTCTGTGAACAAACGTCAAAGCACTCTGCTTGCGTATGCTTGGATTACTGTGACTGAGCTATTTTTATGCTGTGTGTATGTTTGTGTGTGTGAAAGAGTGTGCCTTTTTCTGGGTCAAACGTGGTGCTGGGTGCTCTGCAGACCACTGCTGGATCGAGCTCTAGGGGTCCAGAACTGTTCAGACGAGACATCGGTGTCTCAGAGGAAAGAGTTGGGAAGACGCAGGCAGAAGTCAGCATTAAAAAAAGGCTTTTTATTACAGACATCTTTGCATCTGGAGTAAAAATACCACAAACCAGATGAACTGCATGCTGAGAATCAAAATGTAAACAAGATTAAAGAACAACATTTGCAAACGAAATTTGAGTCACACCTTATAAAAATACAGCATGCATTCTGTGTTATAATTATGAAACGTTTTAGGTCTGACAGTTCTGTCCTTCTGTGTTTGTGTGCTCCCACAAAAAACAAAACAAAACTGGACTTAAATATGCTATATGGCGATTTCAGGAAGTTGAGTGTAACCATTAAAATATAAAAAATACACACCACATTATGACTTATTTTTTAACATCAGCTTTAACTTTGTAATTAGATTTGGTCCAATTTGTTAAACAAATACAGAAAGCAGCTGTTGTAAACCATCTACTAGTTAGGATTTTAAATTTAGCTAAATCTCATGCATGTTTGACTAATTTAAAAGTACAACTCTTTAAAACATTGATAAGTTTTGTTTTTTTATTCTTAGCAAATGTTTGTAACTGTTGTTGTGGTTTCTAGGCTGAAGACATTTTAGCCTGGTAGAAACTGATCCACAAAGATGGCTTTATTTTTTTAGGAAAAAAGTCAAATTTAACAATTTTTAGTAAATTTATTGCACTTAACTTGGAGATATATCATGTACATAGCTGACAATGTTAATCTGTAATGCAAAAAAAGGTCTAAACATTAAAACCCTCTTTTCATATGTCCCTAATTTGATATATTCCTTTCATTTTTCTTACTAAAATAACAACTATTATTAATATACAAAATATAATTTTAAGGAGAAAATGAACCTTAGGATTCATTTATAAGGATTCTGACTGTAAAAAGGGAATTGTTGTTATAAAATATTTAGTTACAAAATAGTAATTTAGAAAATTATGAATAGAAAAGAAAAGAAAATATTGCGATGTTTTAGATAGTTTTATGTCAGATTTTCATACTTTACAAAAAAAAATCTTGCAAGTTTTCATTAATTTTTGGGTAACTTTAAAAATTCCAGATAAAATGATTCAAACTGAATACCAATCCAGAGGCAAAGTATCCAGTTCATTATAGGAATATTCTTTTTTTTTCTCAGGGTTTAACTTGTTCAGTAGTTTACAAAAATATTTAATTGACAATCCTTCTATGTTTCTAGAAATGTATTATTATAAAGATTTAATTAGTTTGAAATTTTCTGCTATTTTGTGTTTTTCTGCACCTCTAAGGAACAATAAAAATAGTCACAATGAAATATATCAGTATTGGTACAAATCCCTGCAGCAGAATCAGAACCACGGGCTGCAGACAGAACATGACTCACTGTGCAGATTTAYTCTGGTGAAATCCTGGTGCTTTTTTACTGACTTTGTCTGCTCGTTACATACCTCTTCTGTTACCTACCTAGTGTCATTTTCTTCAGATGGTTGATCGTCGGTGGGTGGAATAGAAATTATGCAGCGATCATTCTCCTGCAGGTGTGACAGTAAAGGATGACTGACAGTGCTTGCACCTACATAGATTTCTGGTGAAGTGGAAATTTTTAGAAACACTCTAATGTTGGTTGCCACATTTTTGGAGAAAGTGTAAAGTTTTTTTAGCGTAACTGAGAAGCACTATAACCTTCCTCTCTACATCTTGGCTCTAATTTCTTGAGACCTCTTGGGCTCTGGAGCCACGGGCTTTTCTTGGGGCCTCTACAGCTAGCCTAGTTTCGTCTCGGCCTTTCCCAAGAGTGCAGTTATTTTCAGCAAAATGCCGTGTTCTGCTCCGATTTTCTAGTGCATTGTTCCTTTGTGTAAACCAAGGGTTTTGACATGAATAATGTATACAACAAAATGTTAACACTCTTTGGAACAGATCACCTCCCTCAGTGTTAGTAGTCAGCGCTGCTCCAGGTTGAGAAAAAAGACTGTGCGTCTTTGTTGCTGTGGCAGGCTTATTAGATCAGACTGTGTTCAGTGGGGAGGTGTAGGAGCTATCAACCAATAGGTGGGAGACCAGGACTCTAAAGTCGTTTTTGCGTTGTCAAGTCTCAGCACGAGTCGCTTCGCCCTGATTTGATCTGACTCAGTCGTACACAATCTCAGTAGTTTTCCATTGAACTGAGCGTTGTTTTCATGTAGGCGGGACATCATAGTTCAGCTTCTTAAAACTTAACAAACAAGTAAATAAAAGAGAAATAAAGTCACAAAACCTTCGGTCTGCTGACATCCATTCTTCTCTTGATTGGACTCTTGGAACCTCATACTGAGTATAGGTTCTAAGAACAGGTCTGAAAGTGCTTTGGACCACCCCAATGGAAAGACTGAACCAAGTTGAGCTTATGTAAAAGGTCCATTAGCTTTTTACCCTGTAAACAAAGACCTGTTTTGATGAGCTCCTGTTCGACCATTAGTGTAATTAGACTTTGTGCTCAAGAGTTACGTCTAGCTGCTGCCGTGGGTCAGGTTATAGTTTATGCTGTGGTTGTGCAATGCTGCACTGTCACACTTTTTTGTCTAGAGTCATTATTAAATATATTTACTTTACAGTATACCATAAAATAGTGAATGAGATTTGTTTTGATGTTTTTAACCAGATCTAAATAACCAGACCTTTGAGTTTTTTCCCTTTAATCGTTGAACTATTAAAACTTTCAGCCTCCACACTGTATAGTTAGAGTGCATGAAAAAGATATTCAAGATTGATTTCAGTTTTTACTCAATTGCTTCCCCTTTATCGATTAGAGCCGCCAGTTTTCTCCAGAAAAAAAACGTGTCTTTGTGTGAGCATTGACAGAATAGTTCTTTTCCCTCTTCTGGCTCTTTTTTTTACATCAATTCTTATTCAGCCAGCGTGTTAGTTTGGCTTAAATGAACTCTTCTCACACTCCGGCTCTGTGGTAAAAAAGTTTTTTTTCTTAATTTGTGTTTTCTTATTTTCAGAGAACTGTTCTTCCCATAGTGGTCAAAGCAGACTTCTGCTTCTCATGCCACCCACACGTTGTGTAGGTTTACCCACACCTACCCCCATTTTTGCCCAGTAGTTAAAAAAAACAACAAAAAACAAAAGCTTTGCGTAACTCTAAAGGCAGCTATTTGTGAAACCTCGATCGTGCTCGCGGGGGCTCTTACAAAGTTATGTAAAAGTTCCCACTCAGCTTCTATCCGTCTTACGCTGAACAGATCCCCCCCATAAGACGGAGCCAGAGGATTGGGGAAGAATGTGCAGTGACCTGTGTATAAGAAGGGAGTTGTAGTCAGGTAAYCACCTTACTTGGTGGCGTGGTGCTAACGCCTGGATCCAATATTTACACATCCTGTTTCCTCCTCTTCATCTGCCTGTGAGCTCTGAGAGTTTTTGTTCTGTGTTATTTTTGCAGCTTCTGTCGTTTTTTTTCCCTGCGCTCCGACATGATTGATGATTTCTTCTGGTTTCTTCTTTTGCTTGATTGAGACTCCTTCACGTTGTTTTTTGGATGCCCGTCTTCGTCTTTAACAGCTCTCGCTGTATCTAAAAACGTCAACGAACGATTGTTTGCATTTATTTTAACATGGAGTTCCAGATCATATTCTCCTCACTCTTGTGTTTTTCTCTCCTCGACAGGAGCGATCGATGCGGAATTCAGCTGGTGATTTGATGAGTCGCACGTAGGAGCGCCCAGAGTCTCTCCTCCTCCCCCCCTCTCCCCGTCCC